CAAACTACTATAACCAACTAAAAATTCTATAGATTGGTTAGTTAGAGGTTAGGGTAGATGAATTTTACGATATTATATGAATTTATATTATAAAGTATAATAACAATTATGTATCGGGTGACTTTAACCTGTGTGAAAATAGAATTTCCCTTTAAAAAAATTACAAAAATTTAAAATTAAAAGATAACTTTTTGTAAATCTACTAAACAAATTCTAGTACAGTATTATCTAAATTTTGTTACTATATACAGATATAGTAAAATTTAAATTTTAGATTTACTACCTACTTGTAATATAACAATACTATACTAAATTTATCGGTTTTTTTAGAAGCTAAGTCTGATAAATTATAAACTTCCGGGACATCTTTTTTATACATGATGTGTATTATTTTGAAATACCCATGAACATTATTTTAAAATCACACATAAGCTTATAATTTTTTTTCGAAATAACGCTCATGGTTGTATTTTGTAACTATGCAGCAGTATATAGTATAAATATACAGGTTACCCTCGTTAATATCAATCTCTTATTAAGAAAACATAGGATTAGGCTATATAAAAACTATCCCGTTGTTATCAACCCTCGCACATATCAACATAATTGTTTATTTTTTTTAAATTATAAATCCATTTTATTTAGCTTTTCTGTTTTTTTTAGAAGGATAAAAATAATAATCTGATTAAATAAATCATATTTACATAAATACAGCTATTTGCTTTAAACATCTAAACTTTTTATTGTTCTGTAAATTATTCATGGTCTAGGGAAGTTGGTAATGGATTCGATGAAGAATTCCAAATTACCTTGATGGATAGACTGAGATCTAGGATAAATGAGTTTGAAGCACTTCCGTTTTATAATACATTTACACACACAAAACTTTTAAGTTCAAATCACTAACGGCAATCAGAAATATTCAGCCAGAAACAACTTACTCATTATTTTTTTCACAAATATTTACAAAAACGTTCTCATTTTATTATATGTATAAAACTAAAATATTTGGTTTTTTTTTTTTTTTTTTTTTTTACATATAAAAATAAATTTATATATATTGATAATTGCCATTTTTTTCGCAGAACCTTTTTATTTCAATAAACCATTAACTCGACTTCCAATTTTTCAAACTTTATAGTCAACAACTAATGAAGTGATAAAATGAGAAATATGTGCAATATAAGTAAAAAAAAAAAAAAAAAGAATAATGATTCATCAACTCGATGTTATCATGAATCATAGAAGAGTAGATCTGGTCATTATTGAATTATATACAATGAGAACATTCTATTATTTGACAAAGAATTAATTACCTTTGAAGGGATATCTAATCGTTTTATTTGACAAGATACTATGATACTTCAAAATTAGCATAACAATTTCTATACCCTTCAAATTATCCATGAAAGGAGTCCACGATAAGATATTTTGCTTCTTTTTTTTTTTTTTGTTAAAGGTAGTCGGTTCTATGTCGAATGTGTCTTCTCATGTGCTTTTAATTGACTTGCTCTCGTATATGTTTTATCACATCCTTTTATCTTACAAACGAACGGCCTTTCACCTACATGGGTTCTGCAATGTTCCCTTAATCTCTTTGAATCTGTAAAAGTCGTATTACAATTACGACATACAAGGGACATACCATTTTTTTTAATACGCGTGTGATCAAATTGATGTCTTCCTTGACGAGATTGCTTATTACTCGAACCTTGAAATTTAACTGATTGAGAGCGTAAAGCATGGGACTTTGTTTCTGAATTTCTCGAGCGGCGGCTGCGATTGATCTTATCTTTTTTACGGGTATCATAATCCTCTCCATCTTGTGGATCTTTCGATGATAAAGGTGATGGTGGTGACATGAATTCATCATGAGATAATTCAATTGTCGGTGATTCGGATCTTTCTCCCGAAGATGACACACTTCTTGCTTTTGGAGTCAGTGGCATCGATGATTTCGATGGTGTAATGTAAGGAACACTTGTATCCGAGTTTATTACAACTAATGGATATGATAAGGGAACCAAAGAATGCGTTGTAGCTGAGGAACTAAAGAAATCACCACCCTGAGCCTGAGGCAAATTATCCTCCAAAATTTTATCCTCATGAAAGAACAGTTGCTGATGGGAAACGTTGTTTATTTCTGTATTCAATGTATTATTAGGATATTTCGTTTTGTAACTGGAAGTCTCTTGTATATAATTATCAGAAAATTCATCCAAAAAATCTTCTTCATTCTCAGCTTCTATATCAAGCATATCTTGAAGTGATTCAAAGTCACTTGAATTATTATCTGATAGCAAATCAAGACTTCTTTGTGATGAAACTTCCGAATTATCAACCAAACAACCATCAGCAATTCGTTGAGTCGAGTTGTCGATATTATGTTCCAGAACATCCTGTAGGGTGCACTCTCTATTAGAATAATTATATCCATTTTTTTTAATAGAAGTGTTCTTCAATATATTTTCGTTTTCAGAATAAACGTTTTTTTTAATAACACCTTGCAACGCATTTAAGTCATTTGAATTATTGAAAGTAGTTCTTCTAATAACGTCAGAATCAACAACTCTTCTATTAATATTCTGAAATATACTTTCTTCATTGGGAAAATTGTTATCTTTTCTATCTTCGTTATTTTGAAGTGAACTTCCTTCACCTACTGAATCATTATTTTGAGCCGTAATATCACGTTTCGAGTTTTTATTATTTGAGGTGACTTTATCGCCGCTATTATTGGAGAAAAAATCATCCGAATAAACTTGAAAGAATAATTCTTCACTTTCATCACTGTTGTAAGATGAATCGAATTCGTGACTATCGACACTATCTGAACTTTCCACCGAATCATCATCAACAGAGTTTTCAGGATCACCAAACCCTAAATGTTTATCGAGAATAATTAGAATTATGTTGATATAATAAAGATGAGGAAAAAAAGTTCTTTTCTTCTTTAAGGTTTACAAATTGCCCAATATTAAAGTTATATAATTCAGCAATTAAATTGTACAAGATCATAGTCAACATGCATCATAAACAAATTTTCGATTCAATTATTGCAGTTGTCGTTAAATAAACCATAAAAAATTTAATATTGAATAAAAAATTTGTTTGATCTTGATGATTATGTTCATTTATATTCCTATTTGATGTGAATACTCAAGAAAAAGGGAAAGAAAAGAAGAGAAAAAGGAAAAAAAGGAAAAAAGGAAAAAAGGTTGTAAACTTACTTAATGCATTTTGCGCTAAAGTTAGTTCAGGATAAATTGTTTCATAAAGGTAAAAATAACTCATTTGGTTTTGACTCATTTTTTTTATAGCCCAACAATTTAAAATCAACGTTAATCATATAGTTAACGTGAATTTCTGGAGAGAAAATCAAAAAATAAAAATTTTGAGGTGCATGTCACTGGAAGTACCACATATTATAACATTTTGGTATCACAACATTAATATGGTTATGTAACAAATAAAAATCACATGTAGTACTTCCTAATCTAGTGACATCATAGTTAGGAAATTTCAAATTTTGATCGATATTGCATAAAGTTCAATAGTCTCCATGTTTTCAGTCCTAATGTTAGGTATTGATTGGGTAAAAAGTATTTCATTCTGTCATACAAAGAGTGATCGATAACTTGTTTTATGCGAAAAAGGCGGTCACAAACTATTGATATTCCCTCCTTTATTTGCAAATGATATAGGTGATGAATTTCATCGATTATCCCGTATAATGAATCATCCAGGGCGGCCCCAAAGTAGGACCGCGGATAATGCTAATAGAGGTACGTACGTACGAGTTGAGTTAATAGATATTTTGTCCACTTTGTGGACCAACCCTTTTTCTAAATTCTGACAAAATAAAATTTTATTAAATTATTACCTTTTTTGTGATGAAATTTATACAGTTAGCTTACATTAACTTAATTCAGGCCAATGATCTTCAAAATTGACCGGAAATGAATTTTTTTGAAATTTTTTGAATCCGAAACGAAAAATCTGGCCTGCTTCATGGTTAAATTGTTTCAGGAATATTTTTACTTAATGGGAGGCTATGGTTTCGTTAGTAGAATTTGCATAATTTTGGCCTAGCTGTGCCATAAGATACGTTACGGCACTTTTGGGGATCTCCTGGATATCGGGTAGAATCGCACCAAAAAAAATATTTCACCGTAAAAATTTTGTGCTATTAAATTAGGGTTAGGATCCTGTTAGGATCCTGTCATTAAATTGTGATTTGAAAATATTACTTATACTAAAATTTTACAAGGAAAATTTTTATTAATGCGCAGAAGGCGGTTTCATAGACTAAATTTCGAGATATAAGACAACCCGAACGTTGATCGGTTATCGTTACACTCGAAATTTGATTGGCTGCGAAATTTTTTAGTGTCCTGGAAATTCCCGCGATAATATGGGTAAAATTAAGGATCACCCGTTACCGTTACCATATACTAGGTAGCTACCCACTTACGAACCCATGATTTTTCGGATCCGTATAATGATCCGTTCGGGTAACACCCGATCCGATCCGGGATATAGATTTTCTCATGAATGGTCAACAGGAGCGACTGTTCAAATTCGTAGATGATTTCAATATAATTCCACGTGATTGTCAACCAATCGTATCTCGAATTTTATCAAATCGATTGCAAAGAAAAAGTTGTGGGATTCACAGGGATTCAAAAAATATATCAATTCATCCGTTAAATTTATTCTCGTTTCATAGAAATTAAGCTACCCGAGCTTTTAAAATGTATAAAAAAAATTATTTATCAATCGTGTAACCATATCGGAATCTACGAATTTGAACGGTCGTTCCTGTTATTTCATGCAGTTAAATTTATAGTACGAACGTACAGGCTATCATGAGTGTTCCGTTTTATAATACAGTATACATTAAATTAGAATAAATTGCATATCGAATATCTGTAAATAGATGCTGCCCGTAATTAACATCGCGTTAAGATGAATTGTCTGCCACTTTAGAAATTAATAATTTGTAGTACATTCTTCATGCATACTAGCATCCTCATATTCGCGTTAATTAGTCAATGGCTACTTTTTCTTATTCAAGCTAATTTAACTGGAAAGTATAAAAATAATTTATTATTCGAAGTATTCAAAACCATATGTGCGTCTTTTATTAAATTCTTATCTAGAGGGTGTCAATAGAAATCAAGCAAATTTTATTTCTAAGTAAATTTTTTAAACTTTGAATTAAAATATCTTGACAGCGATTAAACCAAACTTGATAAAAAAAAATTATTTTAATCCTATATAGTCATGGAATTAAAATAAACATTTTTTTATGAAGTTTGGTTGAATAGTTGTTGAGATATTTTAATTTAAAGTTTAAAAAATTTTTACTAAAAACAATTTGCTTAGTTTCTATTGACACCCCATCTATCTCTTATTCAAGTCAATTTAGCCAATAAGTGTAACAAATTATTTATTCGAATCTCTTATTTAAGTTGATGTAACTATGGATACTCATTTCCTCTTATTCAAGTTGATTTACCCGGTAAATATAGTTATCATTTGGGATCTTTGCTAGGAAAATCACCCTTCGACATTTTCCGATCGGGCTAATTCGGAACATTTTAAACCAACGTA